AGAGAGTTAGAAACATCGATGAGAGAGAAACATCGATCAGCTGCCTCCTGCACATCTCCCACCGGGGATGTGCCCACAACCCAGGTACATGCCCTTGACTGGAATCGAACCTGGGACCTTTCAGTCCACAGGCCGATGCTCTATCCACTGAGCCAAACCGGTTTCGGCTCAATAAAAACATTTAAAAAAAAAAATCAAAACCATTTACTTTATCTCAGGTATTTTTAACTCATTCATTGTATTGTATTGTTCTCTTGGTATCTGAGAGAAACAGGATTATGAAATTAGGTGAAAGAGGAGAGTTCAGAGGAATTCACTGGGCTAAGGTTGAACTTGCCCCATTGGTGATTAGTGTGGAGTGGGTATGCCCTCTGATATCCTACTGGGCATTAATCTTAAGTTTCCTTGCAAGACCTTTTACAGGCATTCACATGGAGACTGACAGAGCGCTTAAGGTGGTGTTTTGTTGACATTAAGGAGTAGCTTTGAAAATATTTTTAGATGCACGATATTATGTGGACCAGGGTGGTTAATAAGCAAAACATTTTGACTCATATATTAAAACTAAAATTACTATAGAACCAATGACACATTATAATTATAATCTGAAAATGATCTGTTCTTTGCCACTTTACATACTGTAACAACCCACACCTGATGTTTTAGAACTGCTTAGAGAGCTCCCCAAACACATCATCCCAGACTGTCTTGCCCCACCCACAAAGGCCCTCATCTGCCCACCCCGCTCTTTGCCTTTACGTTCAACATGTTTCAAAGCTCAATTTCTTATCTGGGTTCTTTGACTTCAATTATTTATCCAATATGGAGCACCTGCTATCTGCTGCACAGACCAAGAGTTGGTTCCTGCCACCATTGAACACAGCCTAGTAGCAGTCAATAATTACCAAATGCTATAAACAAAATGCGTATGGTGCTATGTAGAAGTGTAAGGTGAACTGACTTAGATTGGGGGTCCAGAGAGGCATCTTTGAGGAAATATTTAGCTGAGGTCTGAAGGATGAGTAGGAAGGAATTAGCTGGGCAAGCACTGGAGAGGGATTAACAGCACTGAGGAGGGAAGGAGAGCAGCAGCTTCAGGAGCCGAAAGGAGCCCCGTGGCTGGAGTGCAGGAAACAGGTGAGGTGCAAGGGACGAGATGGGAAGCCTTAACACGTAAGTGCCCAGCCTGTTTTGTCTTCCGGACAGAAAGTGTAGTGCCAGTCACCGCTTTAGCCCTGTGGCCATGACCTTCCCCTAGCCTTCCTGAGGTGCCCCATGCCGTGCTAAGAACCCTTCCTTTGTGCATCCTAGGGGTTATACTGGAACTGTTTCTGGCAGGCTCCTTTATTAACTTCTTAAAGGCAGAGATTATCTTAATTTAATTTTGGACACTCAATATATCACTAAGCGTTTTTTTGTTAATCCAAACCAAAGAAGTCAGAAGACTCATTTCTTTCCTTGACTTTGCCATCAAGTTGTAGCACAACCTTGGGCTAAGACCCTGGATGCTCTGGACATGCAACCGTTTCCAAATCGATGGTGTCCAAAGGCCTACTTGACTAGATGTTGCAAATTATGAATGCACCTCCTCAGGGTAACTTGCTTATTATCTCTAGTGGGGACAAAGTACAGACAGTTGAGTTAGGGTCAAGTATGTCTGAATTTGCCCTTCGTCTGTTATTATTTTTATATGTTTTTATGTTTATTTTAAAAAATCCTTAATGTGAGTATATATGCACTTTATGAAACAAATCAACTAAGTTCAGTTCTCCTAACTCATCAATTTGACCACATTTTGTCACATTCCCTTCCCCATCATTGGAAGCTATCTATTCAGTTCAAAATTAAAGTTGGACAGGAAAAATAGTTTCTAAAATGACTTTGGTTCACCTATAATGAAAGGCATGAATAGTTTTGAATTTCTTCACGTAGTAGTAAGATCATGAGATGCTCAATGAATCTCAATACTTCTATTCTGAATCACAAATTCCTGGGTGACTAAAACAAATTCCTGAAGTTAAACTTAAATTAGATGGTGGTCAACTACCAGAAAATAAACACCTACTTTATTAATACAATAGCAACAGAAAGGGTTTCCAATTTCTTAGAACATGAACCAGCACCACCTGGTAAGTGTTACAAGATTAAACACCCACATTTATTGTTCCAAGAGCTCCTTACCACACTGCTGATGTTTCATCAAAGACAACTACCATCAGAGCTGCTGTAAGATCACAGATAGTTTTATAGTCAAAAAGATCACTGAAATGATATAATTTCTGTTTTAGAAGCTCTGATGTAGAGAGAACTTGTCAATGTGGAAAAAAGAGTCTTGCTTCTTGAATTCAAGAAAAACCATGAACTAATCTATCGTTTTTTTCTGATTTAGTCTGCCAGAGCATTCTGTGAAGAATCCTTTTCCATTCCTGCCACCTTATCTGGGTGAGAGGAGAGGAAAGGGCGAAGAGGTGCCAATGTGCTAATAGGCAATTTGGGCGACGTTCTGCACTCCGCTCCCTTTCTGCTGGCAGTAGGCGTCTTTTCTGGCAGCTGCAGCAGCTTGATGAGGGGAGAAAGAGGTCACCCACCAATCACCTCTTCTTGAAGCCGTATTTTTTTCGTTCATAGAAGAGATCTGTCTTAGAGCTCCCCAAATTGACAATCTTTGGGCAACCATCTCTCTGGAAAAGAGAAGAATAGAGAAGTTATTAAAAGTCCTTGAGCCTATATTGAGAGGGATTTAACATAAAAATAACTTTTGTATTAGTGGTTCAGCCATTCATTTTGCTATTTTAGTTATCCTATTCGATCAGTTGTCAAGAACTTACTAAGCACCTAGAATGTGCCAGGGCCTGCTACCCTCAGTTCGGTGGTCTGCACTTACAATGTTGGGTTCTTAGCCCACTTCAGTTACTAATAACTATGATATAGTGAGGTAGGATCTAAAACTCTTAAAATGTCCAAAGGGTTTTCTTCTAGTGAAAGGTAAGATAAGGAATAATCATCTTCAGATCAAGCTCTCTGGTTCTCTTCCACTATCCCCCCCAAAAAGAGTGAATGTGCCCAGCTGGTGTGGTTCAGTGATTGAACATCAACTCATGAACCCAAGAGGTCACTGGTTCAATTCCCAGTCATGCCCAGGTTGCGGGCTTGGGCCCCAATAAGGGGTGTGCAGGAGGCAGCCAGTTGATCAATGATTCTCCACATCATTGATGTTTCTTTCTATCTATCTCTCTCTCTCTCTCTCTCCCTCTAAAAATAAATAAAAACATACTTAAAAAAAAAAGGAGAGAATACCACCAAGGAAAAAAATCTAAAGACTATTAGGAAATAATACCTTCATTTTAAATATCACAGAATACTGGGTTTAATGTGTCCTCATTAATTCACTTAATTTGACACATGGTCTTGGGGGAAGAGTACTCCTGTGCCAGAGGTGGCTGCTGAGTCCCTACTCTGATGTGTAATGACATGCCCCCTGGCCATTTTGTGAGCCTGAGTGGTTTCAGTGAAGCCCCAGGGAAGCTGTGTTCTGCAGAAGTGACGACTCTATTAGTTGATTTGGAATGATGGCAGGAAAACTAGGGGAGTTGCTACTGGAAAAAACTTTCACAGATCTGATGATTTCATTTTATCCATGCCAAAGGTTGTTGCTTCCTGTGACATTGGGCTACAGAATGAATCAATGAAGTCCTTAGACATCTCATTTCTAATTCAGCTGATTTCTTTTTCCAGGGACTAATATCAATACTACAAAAATATCTGAAAACACACAAGGCCAACACTAACATTTCATTATTTTCTAGAAAATATATACCACGTATTACATTGAGAACTACCATCTGTGGAGTTTGGTGTGCTGGGGGAGCCAGGCTGTGGGCCCAGCCCCATCAATGGCTTGCTAGGTGAGCTCTAGTAGGCTATGTACTCTGTATTATAAGCTCTCGTACAAATGAGGGGACAGCTGCCTTTTCCTGGCTTAAAGTAGCCTGACATTAAAACACGACAGTGCTCTAAGACCTTTAGAGATGCTATGAAGTTTTGTGGAATGACGATAACCTGTTTAGGCTTACTGTGCTATACTGACTTGTGTGACTGTGGGCAAGCCACTTCTTTTGGACTCATATTCCTCAGCTGTAAAATAGGTAGACTGGTTAACGTTTACAACCTGGTACTTATCTAGCCCTAGAGTCCTGAGGTGCCACACCAACGTGTGCAGTTCCATTCTCACTTGTAGCCTAGGTTAAGGCGGTAGGTTCTGGAGCGAGGCTACCTGAATTTTGGTAAGTTATTGACCTCCCTATTTAGTCACATATAAAACTCTGTTTAGTACATATAAAATTATTGCAATGGTAAAACCTACCTCCTAGAATCAAGAATCAGTAAATATACTTAGAACAATGCCTGGCACATAGTCAACTCTTAGTAAGTTATAAGAAGTTGCCAAAAACAAATATCAGCAATTTCACAATGGTTACACACACACACACACACACACACACACAGCTTCTATATATTTTTGTGAAGATAGGACTACATATTTTTTGAAAGTTTGGAAACCAATGCCTTGGATTATTAGATCTTGGGGTTTATGACATTTTTCTTAGTGACTCACAGGTTTCCTGTTTTCTTGCCTAAATTCCTGTTTTTTATTTTCTACATATCTTTCATGGGTCTCATGGTCATTCCCAAATTCTACCAATGTGAGAGGTGAGGATGTGGGAACTGGATGGAACTGGTTGGCTTCTGCTGGAATGCCTGTGAATGGAGAGCATGGAAAGGAAGATGGAAGGACTGTAAAGGAAACTTGGAGGATGCTACAGGAGAATATTTGTGAGTTGAACTAGGACTTTTTTTTAAAAAATATATTTTATTGATTTTTTACAGAGAGGAAGGGAGAGAGATAGAGAGTTAGAAACATTGATGGGAGAGAAACATCGATCAGCTGCCTCCTGCACATCTCCTACTGGGGATGTGCCTGCAACCCAGGTACATGCCCTTGACCGGAATCGAACCTGGGACCTTTCAGTCCGCAGACTGACGCTCTATCCACTGAGCCAAACCGGTTTGGCGAACTAGGACTTTTTAAAAAAAAAGTTTTTATTGAGTCCTGGCTGGTTTAGCTCAGTAGATAAAGCATCAGCCTGCGGACTGAAGGGTCCCGGGTTTGATTCCAGTTGGGAGCACATGCCCGGGTTGCAGGCTCGATCCCTGGTGGGGGGCATGCAGGAGGCAGCCAATCAGTGATTCTCTCTCATCATTGATGTTTCTCTCTCTCCCCTCTCCCTTCCTCTCTGAAATAACTAAAAACATATTTTTAAAAATGTTTTTACTGATTTTAGAGAGAGAGGAAGGGAGAAGCTGGGCTTCTGTAGCAATCACTTAGGAGAATCCAGTGTCTTTGGGTTTTTTTCCTGAGGAGGGCGGTGTGTCAAATCTATTTTTATGGCAGGAAAGCAAGCTACAAAAATTACCCTGTACCAGTTGATGAAAACCCAGTCAGGACTTTCAAGTAAAACTTTAAAACTAACACTAATCATGCACCAAAATAGAACATACCAAAGGGAAATACGTACAGAACTGAAAGGAAGGAAAAGGCAACTTTTAACTGCTCTGATGTTCACTGAAATGGGGAGAAGAAAATGGTAGAAATAGCACGAGGGAGAGGCACATCCTTAACCACGCTAAGAACAATATAGTGAGATGGTGGAGTTAAGTGCTTTGAGTTAGACCATGAATCCTCAAAGGGGACAAAAACATCCTTGCCATTACAGTGGTTTATGACCTACAGCTCCTCCTTATGCAACAAAAATCTTATTCCTTAGTACTTAATTCCTCTTGTTAAGGAGAACATTTAAATTTAAATTTTAACTTTTCTCCTGGGGGGAGGGGGCAACAATGAAAAAAAAATTTTGAGAAATACTGAGTTAGACCTTGAGCCAAGTTGCCTAACATGTCTAACCCTTAATTTCCTCATCTGTATCACACAGGATTTTTGGGGAAAAGATGTTCAGCATAAAAAAAACAAAAAACACAAAACCACCAACAAAGGGGGCATCTACAATACTTTCAACAATAAAAAAAACAAAACAATAAAGATAAATTTTTAAAAAGTGTTTCAAAAAAATGTTCTGCATAGTACCTGGCACATAGCGAGAACACCATAAATATTAGCTATTTTGTTTTCTGGTTGGGACAGCTGAGGAAAATGGTAAGTAAAAGGAGTAAAGGAATCAAGGGTTACAGGGAATCAAGATGATACTGCATTAGAAGAAACTACAAATTAGTCCTCGGGCAGCAACACCCACAGCCACTATCCCTGACGCCTGAGCATTCTCGAAGCTTTGAAAAACTAGATAGAACACCCAGCTTAGTTTATTGGTCTAATTCCCTTAGAAATGATGGAAGTTGCATAAAGAGAACTATAATGAGGGTTAAATTTTAACTTTCCTCCTTAGGTTGTGGGAAGATTTCTGCATAGGAAAAAGTCTTGGGCCCTTAATCTATAAGGTGATCTGAAAGCCTGAGAGGCTGGATCATGTCACTGGACTGCTTTGGGTTCCTTGGAAACAATATAAGCTGGGTGTCATCTCAAATATCCTCAGAACATTCCTGTATAATGTGAAGTAGGGGAAGGGACATCTAGAATAATGCTCAGGGACAGAATGAGGGAAGGTATCAGGTCACACACCACATGCAGATGAGTCAGAGCAATTAACACCTATTCAGCACTCTCTGGCTCCAAGTTTATGCCAGAGAACAACTCTAGCAACAACCATGAAAAAGTTCAAGAAAATAATGGAATCTTTATCTGGTTTAAGATTTTTTGTACTTTCCTCCTCACTGCTGTTGTCGTACCATGGTTTCATTACTTGTAGACTATAAATAATTACCCAACGCCTACTATGTACCAATCTGTAGAGGGAACGCCTATGGATAACTTATAGGGATAGCACCAAAAATGTGTCCCACCCTTACACTGCATGTCAGGCACTATACCAAGTGGTGGGGAAGAGGAGATACAAATACACAAACCAAGGTCCCTTCTCTAAAGGAGTGGAATCTAGGAGGCAGATCAGAGCAGCAGGATATGATGTGACAGCCAAAGGTACTTATGGAATTACATTTGTCATCCTTTATCAACGACCCTTCTCATTCCCTAAATAACAGAAGACTTAAGTAATAAACAGTCTTATCTGGCCTGACATGTCACACTTACTGGGGGTAGACAGGATCCACATACACAGACTGCTGAGGTGGCCAGGTTGTTTCTCCTCAACACAGGCACTTCCTACTAAAAAGACTTACAAAAGGACAACCTGGGGTAATGGGGACCCCACAAAGTTTAGTCACATAATCTGTGTTTGTCACTTATTAGTTGGCTGAGGGACTGTAAAATGGGGATAATGATAATTCCTATTTAACAAAGTTATTGTGAAGAATAAGGGAGAAAACATCTATAAACTACTCTTTGCTCGTGGGAATATTAAGAATTATACATTTCTTGCTTTATCCTAGATTAGGTAACCAGATACCTTCTATTAGCCTGTTGAATCACACTTACTCTTATTCTGTCATAAGGAGAAAATAAGCAGATTCCTGGGATTTCCCTCCCAAGAAGACTGCTAAATAAAATCGGTAAAACTAACCCTGGCTGGTTGCTCAATGGTTAGAGCATTGGGCCACACATGGGGGTGATGTGGGGGGTTGTTATTGGGTTTGATTCCCGCTCAAAGGCAAGCTGGGTTGCAGGGTTGATCCCCAATGCCCAATGTGTCTTTCTCACATCAATGTTTCTCTCCCCCTCCCTTCCATTCTCTCTAAAAATCAATGGAAAAAATATCCTTAGGTGAGGATTAACAAAAAAAAGGAAAACAGTAAAACTCATCCTTAGTATAGAACTACAAGCCCTCTATCTTGCATTTGGTCCAAGGAGTTGAACAGCTAGCCACTGCCACCACATAATGTCAAGGGCCAAAAATGTCAGGAGACAGAATCACAATCAGTTCCACATTATCAAACCAAGAAATTCTTAACCTCTTAAAGCTGAAATCAACCTGAATTGTCTCCAATTCAAATGTCACTACGTCCACCCAAGCAGTCCTTAATGATAGTAAAGAGAATTACTGAGTGGCTGTTACACACCACGCACTCTGCTAGGACTTACAAAATGCAGGGTGTTGTTTCTGAATAAAAATAATCAGAGACATCAAAGGAATAGAGTGAGGGTTCTCCAAACTGCTGGTGTTGACAAAGATTTGCTTCTCTTGCATTTTTACCCTTGATGGAAAATAACTGCCTTTTATCGGACTACACCCAGTTTGGCTCACAGAATTTGAAGAAATTATAACCTAGGTGACTAGCTGAACATAGTAATCTCTACAGACTATAGGAGTTTGCCACGGCTGGCAAAGTTTTTTTTTTTTAATGTCTTCATTGATTTCAGAGAGAGGAAGGGAGAGAAAGAAAATATCCATAGTCTGCCTCCTGCACGCCCCCTACTGGGAATTGAGCAGTAACTGGGGCATGTGCCCTGACCAGAAATCAAACCAGGGACCTCCTGGTGCACGGGATGAAGATCAACCAACTGAGCCACACTGGCCAACTGGCAAAGTGTTTTTAAATAAAAGATCAGATGCAAAGCTTAGAATACACTCACATCCTTCTCCTGGATGGTGCACTCCTTGCAATAATAGGCGTCAGAGACGCCCGGGCCTCCACAGATCACACAGCGCCCCTGATAGGAGCCGTAGTTACACTCATCACATATGCGCACCAGGGTGCAGGGACGCACATAGGAGTCACAGATCACACACTTGCCATCACCTGTGAGAAAAAGAGAACAGAGTTATGTCCACTTGCAATTCCTCGCCTTCCTCCTGTTATGGGGAAAAACACTAGTCTCCTCAGACAGTGACTTTAGGGCCTTCTACTTTGGCATTACAAAACCTGGCTTCCTTAGTGTTCACCTCAATCCCCACAGCACATTGGAAAAAGCTAATCGAGTAACAAGTAAAGAGCTTAGAACAGCATCTGGTAGGGGTTAAGTCCATATAAATGATTGGCAAAAACTGTGTGCTGGCGAGACCGGTTTGGCTCAGTGGATAGAGCGTCGGCTTGCGGACTGAAGGGTCCCAGGTTCGATTCTGGTCAAGGGCATGTACCTGGGTTGCAGGCACATCCCCAGTGGGAGATGTGCACGAGGCAGCTGATGGATGTTTCTCTCTCATCGATGCTTCTAGCTCTCTGTCTCTCTCCCTTCCTCTCTGTAGAAAATCAATAAAATATATTTAAAAAAAACAAAAACAAACAAACAAAACAAAACAAAAACTGTGTGTTGGAGATGGGGTCAAGCTACTTCCTATCCACAGCCACAGATTTTCTCTAAACCTAAGCATAACTGTGTCTAAAACGTGGAAGCTGGGGTAGGGAGGTGGAGGAGGCCTTGGTTGCAGCGCGCGTTCAGTGTTCACACACTTCCAGGAACATCTACCTACAGCCTCTTGCTGGCGCCACAGAAACTGGGTGCGAGGGGTGGGGTGTGGGGAGGGCGGGTTCCACTTACACTTTTCACAGAGTCTTCCGATGGCTGCAAGAACAAAGACGGTAAAGAGTACAATTAGAATTACTATTCTGGCGAAGAGGAGAAAAACATCCTCGAGTTTGGGGTGGGAACAGAAGCAGGGACTGCAAAGGGCGATTTCATCCACCTTAACCCTCACAAACTTTCCAAAGCCACACCTTCCTGAAGCCCGGCCCAGGTCCCCGGACCAGGAGTTTCTCCGGACCCCACCCTGGCCACCCGCCCCCGGCTCCCAGCACGCGCGTCCCCGCCCCCTTTTCAACGGAGGCCAAGAACCCGCGCGCTCCTACGCTACCCGCCGAGAGGCGGGAAACGTGGCGCCTCCGACGCAAGACCTTGGGAAGAGATGGAACCCTGACTCCCCAACTCCTAATGCTACCCCCACCCGGAGAGCCGCGGCCATGGAAGCTGTCTCACCAACACCAGCCTGCTTGCGACAAAAAATCAAGTCCGGATGATGTTTAGCCATAGTTCGCGCTCCAGCCGGCCACCGGAAACTCCGGGAACTTCCGCCTGACCTTTAACCCCCCGTTGTTCCTGCCTCCTTGTCTCCGTGATTGGTCCTCGAGGCTTCTGTCAGCGTTCGCAAGTTTTGCACCAAACCCCGCTCATTCTCGCGCGATCTGACCCCTACGTTCCAAACACTAGTTTCCGTTGTAGCGGGCGGGCCAAGTCCCGGCAGGCCTGTGAGTCATAGAAAATTGTCTTTGCCCCATTTGGATGGGAGAGACAACCTGAAGTACAAATAAGAAATTTGCACTTCGCCCTGGCTGGTTTGGCTCAGTGGTTAGAGTGTCGGCCTGCGGAGTGAAGGGTCCGGGGTTCAATTCCAGTCAAGGGCACATGCCCAGGTTGCAGGCTTGATCCCCCGTGTGGGGCATGCCGGAGGCAGCCGATCAATGATTCCTTCTCACCATTGATGTTTCTATCCCTTTTTCCCTCGCCTTTCCTCTCTGAAATCAATAAAAAAAAGGAAATTTGCACTTCGATAAGACGTCTTTGTCGGGTAGTTACTCCTACAAATGTTGCTATGCAGATTTCTCCCCTCTTCCATGTTGATTGCTAACACGGGAGCTCCGCCCACTGCGCTCGCGGGCACTGGAGCCTCAGTGGAAGCCCCGCCTTCTCCGTGACGCCTCTTGCCTCAGGCCACGCCCCCTGCCCGAAGGCTTTAAATTGGTCGTGTGGCACGTCACTTTCACGCGACCTCATCTTTGTCAGTGCACAAAATGGCGCCTTACAGCCTCCTGGTGACCCGGCTGCAGGTGAGCGAGCTCGGGGCCCTCTGGGTTCACGGGGGCGGGTGCCTGCCAGTCCGCCTGCGGCTGTGGGCGAGGCCGGGCCGGCCCGACCGGCGCTGACGTTTTGTGTACCTGTCGCGGCCGTGGGCCTAGCGCCCGTGCCGGGTCCTCCAGTGCCTGAGGTCAAGGCGTCCCCGCTGTCAGCTCTCCCGGCCCTGCCCCCGCCCTGCGGGAAGTGTGGGTGGCGGCTGTGGCGGCCGGGTGAAGAATGGAGGCATTCTTTTTGAGGACGGCACTCCCCTTCCCCGTAGGGTTTCTTTCGGCCCCTCAAGGTGAGGACAAGGTGACTGGGGGGCATGGGCATTGCTGAGCCCGCTAGGCCCAGAGCTTGGAGGCCTCACTTCTCACCTCTCGGCAGCGGAGACTTGCCGGCGAGGTGCATTCATAGCCGCCGGGTCTGGAGGCCGGAGAAGAAACGAGTGTCCTGGCCCATCTGTTGCGGATTCTGTGGAATTCATGGCCAGGAATGAAAGGGGGGTCTTCAGGCCCCGGATGTAATAAATAGTAAGAACGGTAATCTCTCACGTTTGCACAACACCGCAAGATTGTTTTAATTGCTGATCATATTTTAAGGCATATAATCACCTGGTGAAATGATTATTCCCATTTGATAAGGAATGAAATTGCTAGAAAGTAGGTGAAAGTTGCTGCTGTCACCGGAGTGGCCTGAGCATCTTGTCCTATAACCCCTCTGTCCTCCGTGTTCACGTCAGCCTGTCCTCACCGAACTTTCCGAGCCACCGTGCGATTTCTGAGCCAACATTTATGTTTTTTAGAGTACCAGCATGGAGTATTTTGAGCTCACAATTAGTTGCTTTCCAGCTACTAGATGAAAGGGTAAAGAGACTCAACAGTTTGACCTTGACTCTCCTGTTGTGAACCATCTAGAAAACCTACTGTAACTGCCAGATGGGCTTTTCACTTCTAACATGACAGCCCTAGGAAGGTGTGTACGCGGTGGTTCAATGTCTAGCATGTATTTTGTTAATAAAAATAAGGCAGTTGTTTGTAAACAGTCTCAGAAAGTCTTTTAACTTTGCGAATCTACTTTGAATCAAGTAGCACAACTTGGATTTAAAAAGATATTGTTATCTGCTGTACTCAGCAAGCGTTATGTTACTGGAAGTTATTTTTTTTTTATTTTGCTTAAATTTAAACCATATGTTTAAAGTTAAATCATTCATCTTAAAAATACTTCTGACCTCTCAATTCTGGGCAAAGACAAGGGATTTTTCCTAATTACCACTTCAGATCTTTTGATTCTCCAGGTTAACACTGTGGAAATACTGTGGTTGTTTCTTCCTGATCCTGCTGTCCCATGATGTAGTGAAGTCAGGAAAGATTATTTAAGAAAAATGATTACAGACATAGGGAGCGTGAAAGGAAGGAGTAATGTCACAGTATTTTTTAACTGAAAAGGAGTTTTGGAAAGCATGAGTGTTAGATCAATGTAGAAAGAGATCTGGGCTATAGTTTATATTTTGCCCTGATCCTGTGACCTTGAACAAGTTACTTCTGTATCCTAGTTTCTTCATCTGTCATTTGGCTTCCATTCAGATTGTTATGATGATTGTTAAAGTCATGAGACAGTTTCTGATCATCATGTAGTCCAACTTCCTCTTTTACAGATAGACAAAATCCAAGACCTTGAGAGCCTGGGTGACTTCCAGGGACAGAGTCAGGATTAAAATTCAGGTCTGTTCATGAAGATGAATGAACAACATTATACCACACTACCTCCGAATAGCCAGGCTGTGTTAAGTAATGGCCAGATGGCCAGCTAACACTGCCCTCTGATACCTTGTAAATTTACCTCTTTCGTGTTTAGCTCCATTGGAGATGTGATGGAACTACCTTGGTTGTCATGTCGGCAGAACTCTGTCTACGCATTAAATATTTTCCTACCTCATTCACCACATATTTACTGAGCACCATGGCTTGCTTCAGATACAATGATAAGCAAAGCAGACAATTCCTGTCCTCATGGAGTTTCCACTATATTATAACGTATTCTACTTCAGAGAACCTTGGAGATCTTTCTCAGCCAAAATATTTTTCTTCTGCCCTTGACTAGGCCAAAGGTGAAGGTAGATAATAGAATGATGGCAATTATAGTACCACTAGCTAACATTTACCTTACTGTGTACCAGTAATCTCACATGACCCTGCGAGATAAGGCAAACCTATTCGCCCTGTCTTATAGATGAAGAAACAGGATTAGAGCAGAAGCATAATGTAATGGTTAAGCATGAATTCTTGCATCATACTACCTTATTCGAATGCTGGCTCTAATACTCACTAGCTGTAACGTTGGGCACGTTACTGCACCTCTCTATACCTGTTCCTTCACCTGTGAGATACAGATAATAAGAGTACTTCAGACTGGTCTAGTAATCATATTATAGTTGCAAAGTATTTAGAACCCTGCCTGCATGTAGTAAATGTTATTAAGTAAAATAAAATAAACTTGTCTAGGCCTTATCACTAGAAGATGTCATTTGAGTTAGCACCTTTCTGTTCCAAAGCCTAAGGCCCCAGCCACTGTACTATTCTGCTTTCCTTTGGCATCAAGATTCAGCCTGTTGCCAGGGTACCATTAATGCTCCATAAGCTGAGAACGGCGTTCTTTAAATTGAAAGTGTTCTATCATTTGACAGTGCCTGCTACCAGATAGTAAGATTAGAAGCAGAGTGAAGAAAATGGAGGTGAAATTTTTGAAAATCCACATTTACTTTCTGTTTTTTAAAAATTTAGTTTTCTGCCAGAACCGGTTTGGCTCAGTGGATGGAGCGTCGGCCTGCGGACTCAAGGGTCCCGGGTTCGATTCCGGTCAAGGGCATGTACCTTGGTTGCGGGCACATCCCCAGTGGGGGGCGTGCAGAGGGCAGCTGATTGATGTTTCTCTCTCATCGATGTTTCTGGCTCTCTATCCTTCTCCCTTCCTCTCTGTAAAAAATCAATAAAATATATTTTTTAAAAAAATTTAGTTTTCTGTAAAGGGCTGTGGGTGATAAATAAAAGGAGTTGGGAATTTGCAAATACATTTCTTTGGTCTTTGATTTTGCCTTGAGGCTCTGGGTGCTGAGTTCTCATGTGGCTTTGGGATGCCGTGTAACCTTTGTCTGTAGGTCTGAGATGGCAGTTAACCACGAAGAGTCCTGACGTTTGGCAGAAGTTAGAAGGGCCTCTATAAAGTGCCATGTAGGTTTCATGTTCACTGTAGTGTCTCCTCAGATGTCCTGTAGCCAACTGTTGATTTGAATTGAGTGAATGAATGATTGCCTGGAGGAATAAACAAACTTCCAATGTCAAATTTGAGAGAGGGGGTAAAATCGCTGTCTTGAAGACCAAGGGAGCACACCATTGCCTTTGGACCAGCTGTTCCCAAGACATTTGTTGAAAGTTTACTACACGCTTAGTGCTCTTCTAAACATTGGGAGTGCAGTAGTGAACAAGCATAGTGGAACTTGTACTGTAGTTCCGGAGAGACAGAAGAGGAACAGGTAGACAAATAGCATGCGTCTACTAAGTGCTAAAAGGAAGATAAAATCGGATAGTGTAGTAGAGTAGGGGTGGGATGTGGTATGGCTTTAACCGGGTTAGTTGGGGAAGGCCTCCCAGAAGTGACATTTGAGCTGACACTTCAACGATAAGAAGACAGTCTCTCAGCGTTTTGGGAGGAGAGACTTCAAGTAGAAGGAGCAGCATGTACAAAGCGCCTGAGATAGGTATGAGCTTAATGTGTTGAGGATAAGAAATAAGGCCAGTGGTTGCTATGCTGAGAGGAAAGGAAGGTCCAGGCAAGAGGTAGCAGCCAGAGTCATGGCCCTCCTAAGGATTTTGAGTTTTACTCCAAGTGAAATGAAGCTTTTAAGCCAGTGATGGCGAACCTTCTGAGCTCGGCGTGTTAGCGTTTGAAAAACCCTAACTTAACTCTGGTGCCGTGTCACATATAGAAATTTTTTGATACTTGCAACCACAGTAAAACAAAGATTTATATTTTTGTTATTTATTTTATATATTTAAATGCCATTTAACAAAAAAAATCAACCAAAAAATGAGTTGGCGTGTTACCTCTGACCCGCGTGTCCTAGGTCCGCCATCACTGTTTCAAGCTGTGGAGCAACAGGATGTGATTTATGGTTGAGAAAAGTCACAGTCTGCTGCTTGGGTGACGGGCCACAGAGGGAAAAGAGGGGGCAGGGAGACTAGAGTGGCTGATGGATACCAGGGGGTGGTGAAGGGGTCTGGGACTCTGGTGCTGGTAGTGGAGATATTTTGGAGGCATATGGGTTGAATGCGGAGTGTGAGGGGTAGGGATTAATTAAGGATGACACCTAGGTTTGGGGCTTGAGCAATTGAGGGATGGATGAAGTTGAATTCAGTAGTCATGTGTTTGCACAGCACTTGTAAAGCTTGGGTGTGGGCCGAAGCTCACTTATAAATTCT